AGGCTCTCTTGCAGCTGCTAAAACCACCATGACGTCACCACCCCCTTATACGGGGCCTTCGCAATCTATCTCATGCTCTGCCAGCGCTCCTCCTGCAGTGCCTTCTATTTATCCGTCTCTGACAGAAATGATTAAAACTAAACCAGACCCCTCCGACAGCACGGAGGGCACTACTTTAGCTTCTAATGTGGCTGCGGTGTGGGTTGCTAAACCACGAGGGATAGAGATAATTCCGCCCTCACCCTCTGTTCTGAAGGATCTCATATCTCTTTTACCAGAAGTGGACAAACCACTGCAATTTGTAGACATGCTGTTGCGCAGCTCGCGTCACTGCCAACTAATTGGGGCAGATTATCGATTTATCCTTTAAACCAAAATGGGTTCGTCCTATGACGATGACGAAATAACAACAAAAATACCTGCTCTTGATCCCAAGCATGATATAGTACACACAGAGACAATTAAGGAAGAAACAGATGAGGGTAAAAAGACACGTACTCGTATAAAAACACGCCTCGCGTGGAAAGATGATCAGGAGGAGCTCCTGACACATCTAAAACAGCAGCTTACTAAATACTTAGTACCATACTTACTGGTCTGAATGTGACGCAACGACTGATCCTAATGGAATAATGCTAGATGGCAAAGGCCGTTTATGCCTGCCATCATCCTGTGCACCTTTTCTCGTCCGCGAGTTTCACGGTGTTACACACCGCGGCCGAAGAGGGGTAATAGACACAATGAGTTAATAGACACAATGAGTTAATAGACACAATGAGTTAATAGACACAATGAGTTCCTTTTTATGCATCAATAATTTACAGCACCATGTCAATAACACGCTAGACAGATGTCTGATATGTGCTCAAAATAACATCACTAAACCTCAAGCTAAACATCAACAATTGCCCCTTCCTGAAACACCTTTTCAGGAATGGCAGGTAGATTTTACACATCTGCCAAAGAGGGGTCCTAATAAATATTTACTGGTTTTTGTGGACAAATTTTCAAAATGGGTTGAAGCCTTCCCATGCAGTAAGGAAGATGCTAATACAGTTGTCAGATGTTTGACAAGAGAAATCATTCCAAGATACGGTATACCATGTGCCATAGACTCAGATAAGGGAACCTCATTTACTGCGAAAGTAATACAAAATCTAGCTTAAGAACTCCAAATTAATTGGCAGCTACATATTCCCTATCATCCACAATCATCTGGCATAGTAGAACGAACTAATAGGACCATCAAGGACAAATTAAGAAAGGCTATGCAACATGCAGGGCACTCAAATTGGCTCGCCTTGCTACCTCTCGTTTTAGCAGACATGAGGATGTCTCCTCACAAAAGTCTTCACGGTCTCTCTCCTTATGAGACTGTGATGGGACGACCCTTTCCCTCACCATGGAGGCAAAGGGGTACCACACTGGGTGACGGTTCTTTGGATATTCATATGAGTGAATGTGCACAACAGCTACTAACAACATTGCATGCATACTGGACTAATATACATTCTGGTTCAGCCCCGATGCCGGTAGACCCAACACACCCATTTAAGGCTGGTGACAGAGTAATGATTAGACAGTTCAATAAAATGAGCACAGAACTGGGGGACCCCAAATATGGCCCCCCGACGGATGTCGTGGCTGTAACCAGAACCGCCGTTTTAACCTCCTCTTCTCCACAGTGGATCCATGCAACCAGAATAAAACGAGCACCTATTGAATAATAAAAATGTATAAGTTTTGTACTATGATAATCTGTCTGCAGACTCTCTTTGTTTTACAGATACTTCGGGGGCCCCCACATCAGCTAGCACCTCCACGCAGCATAACTACTAGAAGGATCAGCATGAAGTGGCTATGGACATTGGGACTGTTTCTCTTTCTTGTTGCTCAAGCTAATGCAGCCAGGCTGAAACGCTGGACACATGATCATGAATTTGGATGGGCAGAGGATGGGGCTGACAATCCAATTGAAATAATATGTGGTATCAATATGTAAATGAGTTTTAGCTAGGTCATATAATGTATCTGGTTGTTATGTATGTTCTGTTATGCCTCATTCAGCCAAGCAAACCCCTCTTTATGCCAAACCCATGAATAAAACAGCTGCTAAATGTTCTGCCAGTTTTGCAGGATCAGGGTACCAGAATCCATATATAATTGTCGATGACTACGATCCATACCGGATTGGCATTAGAAATGGTACATGTGATGCTCTATTTTGGGTAAAATTTGGCCATGCTAAACCCTCACCTATTAGCCACAAGGTTTTTATTAACCACTCTATTACACACCCTGTGTGTTATAACCAGACCATGGGCTCTCATTTCATGGGAAGCACTGTTAACTGTCAACAAATTGCCTCCTCGGGAGAGGGGGCCCCAGTCGACATCTCAGGACCCTCAAATGGCACTTATGTGGTCCAGGGTGGGTGGTGGTTGTGTGGGAAAAACGCCTACATGTCCCTACCGGCCAACTGGACGGGGCAGTGTGCCCCTGTGCATGTGACTGATCACACTTTTATTGTGACAGCCCAGGTCCTGTCCGCGCAGCAAAGAGTTAAACGCAGTGTCCCTGAAATGAAGCCCCATGACTCTGTATGGGGTACTGATGTGCCCGAGGATTTCAAATTATGGACCACTGGTAACAAAGTGGTATTGGCTCTATTTCCGCAAATAGGTGTGGGAAAAGCTCTACTAAGAATTGAGACCCTGGACTATCGCATGGGCCTATTCCTGAATGCCTCAAAAATAATTAATGAAGCCCAGAATAAGGAACTTGGAAACTTACGTACCATGGTTTTGCAAAATAGAATGGCTCTAGATCTCTTAACAGCATCCCGGGGGGGTATGTAAATGAGTACTGCTATGTCTACTCTCCAAGGGTTAAAAATTGCCATGACTTCTGATTATGTCCCAGACACTACATGGGGTTGGATGATGGGTCTGTTCGGCTGGGTAACTCCTTTCCTCACTATGATAATTCCTGTATGTATTATTTTCCTTCTTATTTGTTGCTGTGGCCCCTTTCTTTTACAATGTTTGATGAATCGTGTTTATGCTACAATGGACAGTATGATGGGTCAACGATATGATAGATTCCTCTGCGTTAGGCCTTTGGCCTAAAAGAGGGGACTGAGAGAACATTTTGTCCTCTTTTAAGTGTGCTTGCATGAGAAGCAGAAGTGTCTGTGGTTTTTTGTGTGTGTGTGTGCATCGGAGGTCTGAAGGTCAACGTCTGGTTTCGGTTTTGCAGACAGCTCCCACACTGGATGGAAAGCCCCGCTATATATACATTTCTTCTTTATTCTGTTTGTATAACATGCCCATATTAAGAGTGTCTTCCTTCTTCTGTATAACTTTTAAAGGTCAGCCCACTATGTATATATGTCCCTGCTCATCCTTATCATCAGGCTTGCAGAATAAACCATTCTAACTACAGTTTGGTCTCTTCTCATGTCTCCGGGTCGACCTGATGAACTTTGCTGAATCTGGTGCCTAATATAGGGGAAATCTTACATCTGGCCATAAAGTTTTTTACATTATTTTATATTTGACTGCACAAATGTTCTCAGTACATGTCAAACAGAGACATTCGCTCAATTATTAATAGATCTCAGATTTCTTTACCAGTTTTAAGAATAATATATTCACATGGTGGCGCAGTGGGTTATGGAAGGCCGTTCCTGCCACTGAATAAAAAAAATAAAATAAAGTCAACTGTACGAAGATGGCTTTAACACCAAGCGGAGTCCTCAGCCGTCAGATGTCACTTCACAGCAAATTGCGCTAATCCCGTCACGTCTGTGGTTTTGAGGCTGTTTACGCTGGTCACGTCATTCGTTTTATGTTGATTGGATTCAAATCTGATCATTTAAGACTAGTCAGGGACGCATTCCCGATGAAACTGGACGGGTGTAATTATTTGTCTTTAAACTAAAATTAATTTAAATAAACTGAATTATGACCATGTGATGCAGTGGCACAGTAGGTAGTGCTGTGGCCTCACAGCAAGAAGGTCGCTGGTTCGAGTCTCGGCTGGGTGAGTTGACGTTTAGGGTTAGGGTTATATTCTGAGTTTGCTCACTTCTGCTCCATTCAGTGTCTGTCCGCAGCAAATAGAAAACAATGTAATGATGTGACGTGCCGCAGAGGTGCCGTTGATCAGATGTTTATGAAACTGCTCTTCTCTCAGATGTCATCATTGTGTTTATTAGTACATGCAACACAGCACATTTACAACCCCACACACTGCAGTGTAGGAGTGGTGGAAAACAGTATACCATGTTTATGATGCAGATCCAGGACAGAGGTGATCAGTATCTGCGCTGGTTTCACCATCAACTTGTTACATCTCATTTCATTTAGCTTTTTTGGCAAAATACATCTGCAGGCAAGTGTGGTTGCACCTGTTAACACCCCATGAAAAAGTATCAAATAAAATAATAGTTATTTATAGTTTTAACTGATATCATTAATCGGTTATAATGCATCCTTTCGGTAACGGTTAAACGGTCAATATGAGCATCCCTAGTAGACACTGATCATGTCTATGGTTTCTCTACAACACAGTTGTCAGACTCAGTTCCTGGAGGGCCGCAGCTCTGCACAGTTTAGTTCCAACCCTAATTAAACACACCTGATCAAACTAATTGAGTCCTTCAGGCTTGTTTGAAAACTACAGGTGTGTTGGAGCAGGGTTGAAACTAAACAGTGCAGGGCTGCGGCGGTTCACACCGCTGCTCTGCAATGTGAATCCTCTCATGTGTTTTCGGGCTTTGTAAATCTCTGAATTTCTTATCACAGTGTGAACACGTGTACGGTTTCTCTCCAGTGTGAATCCTCTGGTGCCGTTTCAGTTCTCTAGATGTCATAAAAATGTTCTCACAGTCAAAGCACATATACTCTAACACCAGTGTGGATCCTCATGTGTAGACTAAGGGATGATGATTTGCTGAAACTCCTCCCGCATTGAGTGCATGTGAATGATATCTCTCCAGTGTGGATCATCATGTGTTTATGAAGATGTGACGAGTGGCTGAAACTCTTCCCACACTGAGTGCACGCGAATGGTTTCTCTCCAGTGTGGATCTGCATGTGTTGATTAAGGTTTGACGATTGACTGAAACTCTTCCCACACTGAGTGCATGTAAATGGTTTCTCTCCAGTGTGGGTCATCGTGTGAATCTGAAGACTGTTTTTGCTTCCCAAACGCTTCCCACACTGAGTGCATGTGAACGGTTTCTCTCCAGTGTGGATCATCATGTGTTTATTTAGGTGTGATGACTGGCAGAAACTTTTCTCACACTGAGTGCACATGTATGGTTTCTCTCCAGTGTGGATCATCATGTGTTGATTAAGGTGTGATAATTGGCAAAATCTCTTCCCACACTGAGTGCAGGTGAATGGTTTCTCTCCGGTGTGGATCATCATGTGGATCTTAAGACTGCTTTTGCCTCCCAAACTCTTTCCACACTGAGTGCAGATGAAACGATTCTTGTCTTTCCTTTTCAAAATACCATCAGTCTCTGAATGAGTTTTCTCAAATTGGACATGATGTTCCTCCTCTTTACTCTCCTCTTCCTCTTCAGTTAAGTCTGAAATAAATAAAAAAAGTTGAGTTTTTAGTAAGTCATAGAAACTCATCAAAAGCTGAAGTGAAAAGACACTGGAAACACCGGCAACAACTTTCAAGTTTACACTTAATACTAACAACAGGTTTGGCGTGCTGTCCCGTAAGAGAACCCTGAGCTTGGAGATACTTGAGCTGGTCATTTAGCATAGAAGGGTGTCGGATATCAGGTAGGAGCTTAACCCCTGGTAAAGGAGGGAAAGGGGGAGATGAGGTAGATGGAGGATTCTTCAAAAACGAAGATAAAGGAGGTCAGACAAAATAGGCTATTTTTTGTAGGCCTGAATTCATCTGATTGATTTATAGATGATTGTTAATGTGAGACCAGCCGCGATCAACCATAACACATGATCCACTCAAAATTACTTTATAAAATCTTCACTTCAAGAGTTCACACTTAGCTACTGCTTGATACTAATTGCAGGTTTGGCATGCTGTCCTGGGAGAGAAACCTGAGCTCTGAGATACTTGAGCCCAGGGCTCTCACCTGGTCATTTAGTATGGAGGGTTGTCTGTCTGAAATCAAGTAGGTCTCGAGAGCTTCACTGCTTGGCCCCTAATAATTTGCAATTTCCTCTCCATAACTGCCACCTTGTAGTGAAGGGGTTTAAGTGTCTGAGTGATTCTAAGAACTATGTTTTCAGGCGCTAGATGCCCCTGGCAGGGTCTCCAAATACAAAAGTAAACAGGTTCTAGGACCATGATGTCACCCAATACAACACAGCCAGAGCCTCACCTTAGAGTCAAGCCTGGGGTTGGGACTTGCATGCGAGTGCCTGGTAACTGGGTTTTATCCCATGGAAGCCAGCCTGAAGTAGTGACATAGGAGTGTCCTCCTGTAGGCTCACTGCCATAAGGAGCCAGTGCAACGCGTAACAGGTGGTGGTATAAAGGTCGAGACTACGACAACCTGATCAAACACAGAAACTGGCTCTTGGGACATGGAATATCACCTCACTGGGGGGTAATGAGCCTGAGCTTGTGTGGGAGGTTGAACGATACTGAGGAGAGTCAAGCTTAATTCCACACCCAGTTTAGACTATGGAACACAACTTCCTACTCTGGAGTTGCACATGGTGAGAGTGGGCTGGTGTGGGCTTGCATATAGCACTCAAACTTAGCTGCTGTGTGCTGGAGTTGGCCCCCGGGGAACAAGAGGGTTACCTTCCTGGACAATTGGGTTAGGGATAAGTCACTCACTGTAAATTTCCTGCCTGTGTAGGTACTGACAGTGATACCTGGGAAGAACAGCCTACCTAATCTAAATTGATTGGTACTCTTTGCTTGTTAGCTTGACTATAACAAACACCATGTTTAAGCATAAGGGTGTCCATCAATGACTAAGACCGTTGAATAAAGAAAATGGCCGAGCTGCTAGCTGATCACCACCTGGCAGTGAGTTGGATCCATTTGATTCCAAATAAGGTATGTTATTAAGCTGAAGGAGCCCTACCAGGTTTGGTTTGCTTGTAGGACTCCTGAGGCAGCTGATAGGTACTGACAGCTCAAGCAAGCGGTAGCCTGACGGGTTGTGGAAGCAATAAACTTGTACCTGGGAAAAGTTCAGGGAGACCATGAAAGAAGACTACCTGTCAGCTGCAAAGAGATTCTGGCAAACCAATCAGCACCCCAGGATGTGAAAGCAGTTCCCCACCAACACGGTTCACAGTAGAAGTGGGGAGTTGTTGACCTTGACTGGGCATGTATGTCAGACAGTGGATGGAATACTTTAAGAATCTGCTAAAACCCACAATAATTCTGACTTATTCCCAGTGGATGTTGGACTCCAGCAGGGCTGCCTTCGGTCACCAGTTCTGATCATTATATTTATGGACAGAATTTCAAGGGGCAGCCTAGGACCAGAGGGGGTCTGGTTCAGCAACCACATAATTCCATCTCTGCTTTTTGCAGATGATATTGTCCTTTTGGTTTCATGGGACATGGACCTTTGGCACGCACTGGGAAGTTTAGTGCCCAGTGTGAAGTGGCAGGGATGAGAATCAGCATCTTCAAGACAGAGGGCATGGTGCTCAACTGGAAAAAGGTGGCTTGTCGTTTTCAGCTTGGAGGAGAGTACTTAACCCAAGTGGAGTTCAAGTATCTGCAGTTTTGTTCATGAGTGAGGGAAGGACTGAATGTGAGATTGAAAGGCAGATCAGTGCAACAGCAGTAATGCAGTTGATGTATCAGTATATTGTGGTGAAGAAGGAGCTGAGCTGAAAGGCAAAGCTCTGAATTCACAGGTTAACCTACGTTCGTGCTATCACCTATGGTCAAGAGCTTTAAGTCATAACAGAAAGGACAAGATGTTGAATACAAATATCCAAAAATTGTTTCTTTCAAAGCATGGCAGGGTGCACCCTCAGAAATAGGTTGAGGAACTAGTCACCTGTGAGGAACTCACAGTACAACTGCTGCTGTCTCAGGAATCTCCTGGACTCCTACATAGGAAGGTGTTCTGGGCTTGTCCCACCGGGTAAAGACCTCAGTGAAGACCCAGGACAGGATAGACTTGTGTCTCTACTTGAGACACTGGGAACCTGGTGAAGAAGTTTCTAGGAAGAGGAAAGTCTGGGGTTCCCTGCTGAGACTGAGAGTTTCTTGCGAGTCTCCTCAAGGAGTTTCGACTGGAAGTACATCAACACACTGAAAACAATAAAAAAAATGTCTAAACAACGTTTAGTTCTCACTGACTTTAAGGCAGTCCTTTGAGGTGATTAATAAACAAGACAATGATGATCCTTTTTATATAATGATTAGTGCAAATCATAAATTGATGTCTGAAATATTCATTGGACAACGTCAACATACGAAAAGGCCAAAGCAATTGACCAATTAGCTTTATTAGAATAGTTGGTGCCCTAATTCTCTCTGCAGAAGTCATAAAATATTTATCAAGTTTGTATTCTAAAAAAAGTAAATGTAGACTACGAAGAATCTTGAACTTGAAAGTAAAGAAACTTTATTAATAAAAGAAGCAACAACACAAGACAAATGAATCAGCTTCCCACACTTAAAGCCTTGGTATACTGCAAACCAAATTGAAGAATAAACAGATTACATCATTTTGAACAAACTCTGGCTGGAATAATGTTCTTATTAAGTTCATTTAAGCAGTTGGAAACAACCCCCAATACCCTGGAAAGTAGAGCAGCAGAGCTGTACAGATATATCCGCACCTGTGCAATCACTCGCTGAGATATTTTAAAGACTCGGAGGGAGGCACACACCAAACCAGAAGCCCACCTCATCACACCACATCTTTTCTATGAGTTTGCACACATCTGCACCATTTAGTGTCTGTCCACAGCTAATAGAAATCCATGTAAAGTTGTGATGTGCCGCAGTGGTGCTGCTTACAAGATGTTTGAATTACTTTCTCTCTCAGCCGCCATCATTGTTTTTAGCAGTACATGAAAGAAGCTTCACACATTTACAACCCCACAAACTGCAGTACAGGAGTACCAGTGTTGGAAAACAGTATACCATCACTATATGTCTGTAGGCACGTGTGGTTACACATGTTAACACCCTGCAAGTTTACAGTTAAATATGAGCCTCCCTAGTAGAAACTAATTGTTTCTCACCAGTGTGAATCCTCTGGTGCCGTTTCACATCTCTAGCTGTAATAAAAGTCTTCTTACACTCAAGGCACTAGATTAGGGTGTGATGATTGGCTGAAACTCTTCCCAGAGTGCATGTGTATGGTTTCTCTGCAGTGTGAATCCTCCCATGTCTTTTCAGGTTTCACTCCAGAATCCTCTGGTGCTGTTTTAAGTGTCCAGCTGTATTAAAAGTATTCTTAAACTCAAAGCACATATACTCTCGTATACCGGTGTGGATCTTCAGGTGTTTATTTAGGTTTGATGAGTGGCTGAAACTCTTCTCACATTGAGTGCATGTGTACGGTTGCTCTCCAGTGTGAATCATTTCATGTGTGTTCAGATTTATGAACTGATTAAACCTCGTCAAAGTGCCCTTACAAAAAAATTACTACCGTTCTTTTTAAAGAATATTGCAGTTTTCCAGAAGTTAACTAAAAAACTGCAGTTATTTTTTGTAAGAGCCCTCTCAGTTTATTTAATGCAGGGATGTCCAAACTCGGTCCTGGAGTGCCGGTGTCCTAGAGAGTTTAGCTCCAACCCTAATCAAACACACCTGAACCAGCTAATTAAGCTCTTACTAGATATACTAGAACAGGGATGGGTAAGCTTGATCCTCGAGGGCTGGTGTCCCTGCAGAGTTTTGTTCCAACACTAGTTAAACACACCTGAACAAAGTAATCAGTGTCTTTAAGATCACTAGAACTCTATAGGGAGGTCTGTTTGAATAGGGTTGGAGCTAAACTGTGCAGGACACCGGCCCTCCAGGACCGAGATTGCCCACCCCTGTACTAGAAACTTCCTGGCAGGTGTGTTGAAGCTAAACTCAGCTGGACACCGGCCCTACAGGACCGAGTTTGGACACCCCTGATTTAATGTTACTTCAGTTGTAATGCAGACTTTACTTCAGGGGTCACCAATCCTGGTCCTGGAGGGCTGGTGTCCCTGCAGGGTTTAGCTCCAACTTCCCTCAACACACCTGCCTGGATGTTTCAAGTATACCAAGTAAGACCTTCAGTAGCTTGTTCAGGTGTGTTTGATCAGGGTTGGAGCTAAAATCTGCAGGACACCGGCCCTCCAGGAACAAGTTTGGTGACCCCTGCTTTACTTAATTGCGTTATAGTTGCTGTTGTACTGTTCAGTTCCCTGCAGTTATTCTTTTATAATTCATTTTTGCAAATGAACTAGAAACTACTAGAACTATAAACTAGACTAAAAAATTACTCGAATCCAAAAAAACATCCTTGGAAAAAAAGAACAAAATATTCTTGAAAGATGTTGAAGAACAAACTCCTTGTAACACAAGAGCAAGACAGTTCTAACCACACCCTCAGCATATCAGTCTTTCCTGCACTTGTGCTGCTGTAGTGTGAGTTTACCGCAACTTATACTGCTGTTGTACTACACTGTACTGTGTTTGAACTGTGTTTATACTTCATTGTATTGCAATTTTGCAATTGTACTTTATTTTACTGCAGTTATACTACTATATACTGCTGTTTTACATCAGTTTACCGCAGTTCTTTTTTTTTTGTACGGATGTGAACACTTGTACGGTTTCTCTCCAGTGTGAATCCTCTGGTGCCGTTTTAAGTCTCCAGCTGTGATAAAACTCTTATCACACTCAAGGCACATATACTCTCGTATACCAGTGTGGCTCTTCATGTGTAGATTAAAGGATGACGAGTGGTTGAAAGTGTTCCCACACTGAGTGCATGTGAATGGTTTCTCTCCAGTGTGGATCCTTATGTGTTGATTAAGGTGTGCCGATTGGATGAAACTCCTCCCACATTGAGTGCACGTGTATGGTTTCTCTCCAGTGTGGATTTTCAGGTGTCTATAAAGGGATGGTCTTCGGCTGAAGTTCTTCCCACAATGAGGGCATGTGTATGGTTTCTCTCCAGTGTGGATCCTCATGTGAACCTTAAGATTGCTTAGTCTTGCCAAACTCCTTCCACACTGAGTGCAGGTGAAACGGTTCTTGTCTGTACTTTTCAAAATACCATCAGTCTGTAAATAATTTTCTTCAATGTTGACGTGATGTTCCTCCTCTTTAATCTGCTCATACTCTTCAATTAGGTCTGAAATAAAAAGGTTGAGTTTTTAGTAAGTCATAGAAACTCATCAAAAGCTGAAGTGAAGACACTGGAAACACCGACTACACAAACTAATGTTGGTGCCCATTAATGTAATATAAATCTATCAAGTTTAGTTTTGATTTAATCTGAGTTCACGTTTGTAAAGGGCCTGTTTTTATTTGTATATATTCATAAGTGCAACAATGTTATGGTTTTGTTAAATTAATAAAGCATATAGGGAATACGTGTTCATCTTGTGCCTGACCGGCATATGCGTCAGAATAAAGAGCTGAATCTCCACGAATATTTAGATAACAGAAATGACAGACCTGACATCTGCACCTTTAAATCAGCCAACTCTTTTTGAAAACTAATGTTCTCTGGTTTAGTAATCCACATGAAATGAACAATGCAGAACTCTACAGTCTGAGCTCATTATCCGCTAATATGTTCATGTCTCATGCATTTAAACACAAATCACATGACACCCATGTGAACTCACGAACACATATCTGCTGTGGGTTCATCAATAGAGAGAAGTTTAATTTTTATCTTCAGGAATATGATGAAATTAGGACCCATATAACCTCAGAAGACCACCATGACTGAATTCCGATTTGTTCAGAGGATGATGTGTCACACGAGTTGTACATTTCAGAACCCAGCCAGGGGTCCATTCTTTGTACGTGGATTACTCAGTTAGCTGGATATTGACGATTTGACACGATCCAGGATCGTTTCGTTCTTTAAAGCTGATCTGAAAGTTGTTGTCATAGCAACAGCTCTGGTAGCTCAAACCTGATCGGGAGCAGTTCAATTCATATAAACAGGATTAGATCGGCTCAGTCTATGCAAAGAAAATACTGATAATATTAAAAATACAATATTAAACTGATACCATTAATCGGTTAAAACTGCATCCTTTTGGTTAACGGTTAAACGGTCAACATGAGCATCCCTGTCTATCACTGATCATGTCTATGGTCTCTCTCCAGTGGGGATCCTCATGTGAATCTCAAGGCTGCTTTTTCCTCTCAAACTCAGGAAAAACAACTCTTGTCTCTCCTTTTGAAAATACCATCAGTCTGTAAATGAGTTTTGTCCTCAACTTTGACATGATGTTCCTCCTCTGTAATCTCCTCATACTCTTTAATCAGGTCTAAAATAGAAAAGTGCAGTTTTTAGTGAGTCACTTCAGCTTTTGATGAGTTTCTATGAAAGACACTGGAAACACCGACTACACAAACTGTAATGTTGGTGCACATTAATGTAAAATAAATCAGATCATGTTTAGTTTGGATTTAATCTGAGTTCACATTTGTAAAGGGCCTAATTTTATTTTTATACATTCATGATTGCAACAAAATTATGTTTTTGTAAAATAAAATAAAAAACTGATAGGAAATGCTTAATCATTCTGCGCCTGACAGGCAAATACATCAGAATAAAGAGCTGAATCTCCACGAATGTACTCTGAAAACTGGACTGACACGGTTTCAATTTACCAGAACTTTTATGTAAAGCTGCTTTGACAGAATATACAGTGTAAAAGCGCTAAAAAATGATTGAATTGAATATTTAGTTAACAGAAACGAGAGACCTGACTTGTGCACCTTTAAATGAGCCAACAGAAAACAAATGTTCTCTGGTTTAGTGATCCACATGACATAAACAGTGCAGAACTCGACAGTCTGAGCTCATTATTAGGGGTGTCAAGATTTCAATTTTTAATCGAAATTTATGCTCAATTTCGATTATCGAATCAAAAAATAGAATCGTCGATGCTGCCACGCCCGCATGTCACGTTAGCTTGGCTTGCCAAGCGGGAAAAAACCGGCTTGTTGAAGTGCTTGTTAAACTGCAGAAGCAGGAGACCCGTCGACAGAGCTTAAACCCTCTCCTCTTTCAATGAAGTCGCCGGTGTGGAAGCATTTTGGATTTCCAGTTAGTTATGTTCAACGTTCGTGTTGTCGACAAAAAAAAAACACGCAAGCTCTGCTATGTACGTATTACGTACGGTTCGTCCGATAGACAACACCGGCATCGCGATCCTCCGCCTGCAAATCCGCTGGGGAAAAGTACACACTCAGGCCCTGTTTACACTGTCTTTGTTTTTAAACGGCATTTTAGAACGACAACGATTTGACATCCACAGTGGCGTGTAGCATTTCTGAGCAGCCCTCCATCCTCTCTACCTCTGAAAATGCACATCACGTGACCACACACACACAGACGCACACACAGCCATGCGCTCGAGAGAGCAGGTCCAGGCAGTCAGAGGACTGCTTCAATCTTTCACTCACTTGTACTTTGTCATTTTAGCGAACACCTCAGATACTGTTGGCTGGTTCCTGTTGGTTGTGCGTCTTTTTCACCGACGCCATTATAACGACACAGATCACTGCCTATTCACGAGTCCCGCAGGAAAAGTGATTGACAGGTGGTAATTATGTGTGTATCTTGCCTTTATTCATTTACTGTATGATTTGTTTATGGGTAAAACAAAGACCATGCAGGTCAGGTGGTTTAAACGGTAGGCTACAAATAATTAATTGGTCATTAATTATTCATAATCAAAAATCGAATCCTGCCTTTAGAATCTAAAATGTAATGGAATCGAGGATTTGGAGGATCGTGACACCCTTACTCATTATATACTAATGACTTCCAGCATTCAAACTCAAATCACACAGCAACACCCACATGAACTCATGAATGCCCACAAACACATGCATCGGCTGCGAGTTCAACTGATGAGACCACCTTCACTGTCTTCCCCACACCTGGGAGAGTTACGGTGGGGAGAATAGTAGCACACAAACCAATGTCTAGAGTGCAACAGATCACTACCTCTTATTATACAAGCCGTGTATACCTGAAATCAGCAGATCTGCACGGATGTAATCGCACTTGTAGAACTGTCGTCCCGTCCACTAAAGACGAATTTACAAATAACCTGATCGTTCTCTATTTCTAAATGCACCCGCATTCGGAAATGTCCCTGGTGTAGTGACCAGCAGTATGGATGCTGTCTTCCTTAACACACTAAATACTGTGGCACCCATCAAAAAAGGCAAGAGAGAATAAAACTAAACCCTTGACACCCCACCTCTATTGGCTCACAGAGAGTCTTCCAGCTCACTATTTTACCATCTCCTAGTACTTGGAGCGTTTCCTTTCAATTGCCTCTTCCATCCGCTCTTCCCAAGGCACTGTAAGCATAATCAACTGTGTTGTTGACTCAGAAATTATAATTTTGTCTGGTCGGAATGATGTTAATTATGTGCTGTGGGAACTGTAACTGCTTCCCCAGGTCAACTTGCAACTGCCAGTCAGGCCTTGTTCTTCGCAGTTTGGCATGGTTCCTCCCCAGCTTTCATAGTCAATCCTTCTTTTCAGCAGAGGTGTCAGGGAGTGCCGACACTTCTCCTCAGAGCCCAGAGGGTTAAATATTTAACAAACCTCCTTATACTGAGCATTTGATCAGAACATGGGAATAAAAGACAACTGAGCTTCAGTCCCTATAGTTGACCTTGTGAACAGAAAGTGTGTTTATTTCTCTCTGTCTTTATAGAAAATCATTTGTTTCTGTACAGTAAATCAGATCAACTGTTCAAAGCTTTTCCTCATGATTGTTCTTCAGGCTGATTAATGAAGAATCAGGAATAAACACCAACCTATTTGTTGTTCAGTGTCTTCATGTTTAATTCTGCAGGGTTCTGGATCACTCATGTTCTCGCTGTCCTTCAATAAACTCTTCACTGGAGCCTGATGGGAATATCACAGTGTTTACAGCTGAACTGGAGGAGGAGGAGCTTCACTGGAGGAGGAGGAGCTTCACTGGAGGAGGAGACAATTATTCTAATTAACATTCTGTTCACTTATATTTATATTTTATTGCTATATCAGCAGCACTGGCTATATTCATGACAACACTTGTATTAAATATTCAATATATAATTGATGATCATAACTGTTTCTGAAACATCATTAATTGGTTAAAAACACACAAATAACAGCAACACTGATAAAGTCTTATAAGCTCTTTCAGTCTGATCAATGATCAATATTGTACAATTCCTCCAGAAAACACATTTTTAAACATTTGCCTTCAAATATTTCCTGAATAAAAACATTCTCTAATATCATTTACAAATATACACTCTATTAAAATATGTTTCACCATCAAAATATTCTCACACAAGTTACACATAGGTTTCTCTTCCACTACTATTATAGTTTTACACTATTACACTAATCCCAAATTCTGTTTTACTGTAAAAGCCTTTGCGACTCTTCAAAGGTGTACAGAAGCATATTTGCAGTTAAAAGATCAATGTTAAACGAGCACTTAGTGAAGGAATGAGATGGAGACACAAATGAAAGGTGCCCAGATACAGGGTTTCTGCAGGTTTCACCAAGTTAAATTTAAGATGTTTAAAGACAATTATGAATTAAAGTTTAAAGGGCTAAAGACTAAAGAATTTTTCAAATGGCCCAGATGGAAAAGATTTTTATTTGGCCTTTCTAAAAAATATATAATATAATAATAAATAATAACTTAATAATACAATATTACATTAATAATAAAAAAATTCAATATTTTAGATTTTATTTCTAAGCTAAATATTTAAATATTGTGTAAAAACAAGCAAGCTCTACTTGTGTCCATACACTTTTTTCCGAACATAAACCTTCTTTAAAATAAAACTGAACAAATGTTTTAAAAGTTTAAAAAAAACTATAATAAGCTAAATATATGCACAACAATCTGTCCAAGTCGGTGTCTTCAGCAGTAAATACATGGAGAACTTTTACACAAATGTTACTGTAAGGAAAATAATTAAACCATTATGATAAATAGAGTTAAAATGACCTTTTAAATAAAAAGTGTAAAGTTTTATTGAGATGATTGTTGGTGATTGTTTGGGTTTTGGCCAGATTTGGTAGCAATACATGAACAAAGGAAAATTAAGACCTGTTTAATTAAAGATTTAACACCTACAACACAATATTTCACTACATTTAAGACTTTTTAAAGCCAAAATTTTGGGTTTTGAGATGTAAGACATGTTAAGACCCTGCAGAAACCCTGCAGATAACCCGTGAGTAACGCATTACAGAAGTGTTTACAGCCTAGCATCGAGCTAAAAACAAGAGACTATATTAGCATTGAGCAATTATGTTAAAGCAGTTCAACCCGCAAGATAATTGCAGCAAATCTGCGAACGCTACAAAGGTCAGATATAATACACTTACTTTGAATAGACGCACAACACCCGAAACAGAAGTGGAGTTAAAGCAATTCAACAGCAAACAGCAAAGCTCTGCACTCTCCGCCTCAGCTGCGTCGTGGGCGGGGTTTTTGCCTGCACGCTGATCAGAGAAAGCCGATTGGCTGGTTGTAGGCGCTCTGCGAAAGCCGATTGGCTGCCTGTAGGCGCTCAAGGAAAGCCAGCACGCCACACAATAAATCAAACAGAAAAGGTAAGCCTGATTTCGTCTAAATAATAACAGTCTGAATGATTTGGAGCTTTTAAAACATCACTGTTTTTGTTAACGTGCAGCTTCAAAAATGGAAACAACCCTTTCTAAAGGGAGCAGCGAGTGCTACTGTGCGTCCTTCTGGAGTGTTCACAACATTTTATTAATTTACTAAACAGATTACAGATCCTATAAAAGATTTCAGGTTGAGTTTTATTATGTTTGATACATTTCAAAGGCAAAAAACCCCTGCAAAAAAAACAACAGTAAACATAAATTTGACAAAATTCTCTTTCTGGATTTCTCATCTGCTTGTATTTCTTCCAGCATATTAGCTGCCACACTTGCAAATGCACATTTATTAGACAACAAAATGATGATGGAAGCATACGAGTGGCACAATTCATTTTGAAATATAATATGCAAATTGGCAAAGCAATATGTTGTATGACAATGTATTTCTGTATTTCAATTAGCATTTTCCAGGACATATGTGCAATGTTTGGTGGAGAATGAAAATGTTTCAGTGTGCGCCCTCAGTCATATCCGCGTCGAGGTTGGCAGAATAGAGAGGGTTGTGGGCGGCGAGAACGTCCTTTGCCTAGAGCGGCAGTTCAGCTTGCTCCGGCCCTGACTCCACTGTGTTATAAATGTGATTGGTTTTATTGCAAGGAGTTATGGTTTAAAAGGTAATATTGCATTGGTTTGATTTGAAGTAATGGTTTATTTTTATTTTTAAATATTATGAATTACGAGATTACCCATGGCAACTAATGTAATATAGTCGTGGGCCAAAGGTAAATATACCTTTGGCCCACGACTCTAAATAATAATTGGTTTTTGGCCCTTCATACTTAAAAGTTTGGGCACCACTGCTCTCCAGTGTGAATCCTCTCATGTCTTTTCAGGGCTTGTAAGTCTCTGAATTTCTTTTCACAGTGTGAACACTTGTACGGCTTCTCTCCAGTGTGAATCATCATATGTAGTTTAAGGCTTGATGATTGGCTGAAACTCGTCCCACACGGAGTGCATATGAACGGTTTCTCTCCAGTGTGGGTCCTCATGTGTTTAATAAGGTTTGAGGAGCAGCTGAAACTCATCCCACACTGAGTGCACGTGAATGGTTTCTCTCCAGTGTGGATCCTCATGTGTTCATTAAAGTGTGATATCCGGCAGAAACTCTTCCCACATTGAGTGCATGTGTATGGTCTCTCTCCAGCGTGGATCTTCATGTGTTCATTAAGGTTTGATAAGCGGCTGAAACTCCTCTCGCACTGAGGGCAGGTGTATGGTTTCTCTCCAGTGTGGATCATCATGTGTTGATTAAGGTCTGATGATTGCCTAAAACTCATTCCACACTCAGTGCATGTGAACGGTTTCTCTCCAGTGTGGATCCTCATGTGAATCTTAAGGCTGCTTTTTCTTCCGAAACTCTTCCCACACTGAGTGCATATTAAACGATTCTTGTCTCTCTTTTTCAAAATATCATCAGTCTGTAAATGCTTTTCCTCAATGTTGACGTGATGTTCCTCCTCTTTAATCTCCTCATACTCTTCAATTAGGTCTGAAATAAAAAAAGTTACATTTTTAGTAAGTCATAGAAACTCATCTGTAATTTGGAAGCACATTAATGCAAAATAAATCGGATCATGTTTAGTTTTGATTTAATAATAATGGATTTTTAATATTAATAAAAGCCATCTCACAATCAAAGCATATATACTCTCTTGCACCTGTGTGGATCTTCATGTGTTGATTAAGGTTTGATGATTGGCTGAAACTCTTCCCACATTGAGTGCATGTGTACGGTTTCTCTCCAGTGTGGATCATCATGTGTTGATTAAAGTGTTCTAATTTGTAGAACCTCTTCCCACACTGAGTGCATATGAAGAGTTTCTCTCCAGTGTGGATCCTCATGTGTAGTTTGAGGTTTGATGATTGGCTGAAACTCTTCTCACACTGAGCGCACGTGAATAGTTTCTCCCCAATGTGGCTCATCATGTGTCGTTTAAGGTTTGATGATCGGCGGAAACTCTTCCCACACTGAGTGCATGTGTGTGGTTTCTCTCCAGTGTGGATCATCATGTGAACCTTAAGATTGCTTTGTCTTGCTAAACTTCTCCCACACTGAGTGCAGGTGAAATGATTCTTGTCTCCACTTTTCAAAATATCATCAGTCTGTAAATGATTTTCCTCAATTCTGACATGATGTTCCTCCTCCTTCATCTCCTCATTCTCTTTAATTAGGTCTGAAATAAAAAAGCAAGTCATCAAAAGCTGAAGACACTGGAAACATTGGCTACACAAACTTGATGCACATTAATGTAAAATAAATCAGATCATATTTAGTTTGGATTTAATCTGAGTTCACATTTGAAAAGGGCCTGTTTTTGTTAGGTGTGTGCGGTTAGTGAGATTGAATCTGAATCATGGTTTGAACATGCACAATCTCTAAATCGTCTACAGCACTATTTTCCTGTGCGCTACAGTCCTGACTGATACTTCTCCCGCGGAGTGCTATTTGAACCAATCACAACGCAGTGCTTTTAAACAGAACACGAGAACAGGAGACGGAGCTTAATGACGAATAGTCTGCATGAACAGACTCCTTTGTCGTTGCTACTCGGCTATTAAAACGTTTCTCAGAGAATGACAAATTAACAAAACATTGCTGCAGCTCTGATACAGGTTTTATTTATGGAGATAATTTAAAAGCACTGGGTGTTTGGAGGTCCTGTGTTTGTCTGAGGTAGTCTACCGAAATGTGTGTATTCCAATTAAAGTATGAAGCTGAATCGGTCAGTTCTTGTTACGTGACTCATGGTGCGACATTCTGAGAAGTTTAGATGTTTTCAATTGGGCGCTCCTGGAATATGCAAGCGCATCCTTCCCAATATGCACACAAGCCTCCATTGGAACTAACTTGTGAGCACAAAAGACATGTCAACAAACTATTTCACAGCAACATCACAAAGAGGTCTATGATTATGTATGGCAAAAAATAAATAAATCTGTGCTACACGCAACTACTTCTGATATGTGCTCAAGCAGAACATCGGAGACTTACTAGAGTTTGACAGAACGCCACACACGCACACAGTAGTATTTGCAGTGTTGGGCAAGCTACTTGAAAAATGTAGTGAGCTTAGCTATTAGCTACTCAAAATATAGCTCAACTTCACAAGTATTTTTTTGAGCACAACATCAGAATTGACGTTTTTGCATCTTGACGTACTTCAGAAATAACTTCTCTTCCTCAGTCATCTTACCATTACTCAAATTTCTAGTGTTAGCGACGTCACCAACCAGAGCTAGAGGTAAAAGTAATGCACCAAAAACTTTGTCGTCGACTACCGCAAAACAGGAAGAAGGAATCGTCATTCTTACCATCATATGGATTTTCTTTCATCGGCTGGACACTAGCCTCACAGCTCTGTGAATGTCGTCGTCACTGATCCGCGATTGGTAAATGTAGCTTGTGTGGACTCTACTGCGCTACCTATCGAATAAAATAGCTTCGCTACTGAAAAGCTACTGCGACACTACCGCCACGCTATTGAGATATGTTAAGCCAGCTGCCCGATGTTTGTGCCGTATGGCACCTCTGAGTCTGTAATCCTGATGCCATGGGCCAGATCAAGCCGCTCCTCCTCCAATCATCCTCGCTATTGCTCCCAAGACAAAAACAACGAGTGGACATGACTGCAGCACGGTGACGCATTAAATACGACCGAGCAGACACTTAAAACTAATTGAACACATAATGTGTTTTATTTCTGTATTAGTGATCGCAAACAAATCCTTTATTTCAACCGGATCTTCTAAGTGAACCGGTTGAACTAATTCAACAAATCAAACTGAATCATTTGAAATGATTTGCGTCTCCAGTAAGCACTCTTACCCACAAACTACTTATTAACATGCTTGATCCCCCCTGACTCGAAATAAACCAATATACACAGAGTTATTCAGTTATTAGAACAGTACACCAAGATCAGATTTGAGAACTCTTAACAGTGCGCATGCGTGATTCAGTCAATCCAACACAAACAGTAAATGACAGCCTGAAGCAAACTTGAACTGCAGTACGGGTAAACAGAGGATTTAAATGCGAGGATCTGGCCAAACGTGAGTTTATTTCATAACAGGAAGTCGTAATAAAGTTTAAAAGTGAATCATGCTTTAATAGGGTTGCAAAACATAATTGCAAGAAACTTTTCAGATCATGATGATGTTTAACTGACTGAAATTGCAGACTTTGTTGATATGTTAAGTCCAAACTTGGGAGGATTGTCACGAAAGATCTGGTTCACGTTAAAGATCTAAACTAACCATCGCTACTGTGCATCTATCCTCAGAAGCAGCCGATACTGTACTTTAAGCTGCTATCTTGTGGGTTGTTGTGCTTTAATTTGAGGATGAGTTAATGGTAGAAGGTAATGTTCTTGTGTCAAAAAAAATGTCTATATATAAATAATAAATATATAAATATTAATATATAATAATATATATAAATATTAATTTTATTCAATAATGTAATTAAAACATGTAATTAATGCGAAACAATCTAAATATAGTCTTTAAAATAGTCATAATCATAGGCCATTTGGGCATCGTACGGCTTCTAATGTGAAACATCGCAATGAAAAATGGCATCATTGTCGTATGATTATTTACGACGTATGATTATTTATGAATAATAAATTAATTCATAACACAGTGCTTCCCACAAATAGACTTTACTTGGTATATTAACAGCTGCCCAAGTATATTTGGTGGTGACGCATAAATAATAATGTTATTATCATTCGTTTACACTTTTTTTTTTTTTTTGTATCTGCCCAATCAAGCCAAACATTCGCAATCGATTAACCAGAGGAGCTGTTCGGAGATGCTAGATACAACTCCAGTGTGGATGTGGATCGTTTTCATTTTAAAATGCCATATTAAAACTAAGTTGTATTAGTGTAAACAGGGCCTGGGTGTGTATTTTTCATAAGCGGGTTGCTGCTGTGATGGGAGCGGATCGAAGGGTCACGTTGCCAGCTCAGCATTGTGACGTCTATCGGTGATGGCATTGTCTTTAGACCCAACCCTAAGCCCTACACCAGGGGTCACCAATCTTGTTCCTGGAGGGCCGGTGTCCCTGCAGGGTTTAGCTCCAACTTGCCTCAACACACCTGCCTGTGTTACTAGTATACCTAGTAAGAGCTTGATAAGCTTGTTCAGGTGTGTTTGATTAGGGTTGGAGCTAAACTCTGCAGGAACAAGTTTGGTGATCCCTGCCCTACACCAAACAAATTATTTCGGTCTAAAATCAGGCGTTTCAGTTTTATTGTCCAACCCCTGTATGTTTATTGTGTGCTAAACAATAACAATGTAGTTTCATAAAATATAATACGCAAGTTTAGTTTATGTATGTTAAATAATGTTCATGTGACACGAGCGAGCAGAATCACTATTACTGTTAATATGCTGGTGTCTAAATGTTCCTGTGACTTTTAAAGAAAGTGTGTTTATTTCTCTCTGTCTTTATAGAAAATCATTTGTTTCTGTACAGTAAATCAGATCAACTGTTCAAAGCTTTCCTCATGATTGTTCTTCAGGCTGATTAATGAAGAATCAGGAATAAACACCAACCTATTTGTTGTTCAGTGTCTTCATGTTTAATTCTGCAGGGTTCTGGATCACTCATGTTCTCGCTGTCCTTCAATAAACTCTTCACTGGAGCCTGATGGGAATATCACAGTGTTTACAGAATGAAGGAATGAGATGGAGACACAAATGAAAGGTGGCCAGATAACCCGTGAGTAACGCATTACAGAAGTGTTTACAGCCTAGCATCGAGCTAAAAACAAGAGACTATATTAGCATTGAGCACATATGTTAAAGCAGTTCAACCCGCAAGATAATTGCAGCAAATCTGCGAACGCTACAAAGGTCAGATATAATACACTTACTTTGAATAGACGCACAACACCCGAAACAGAAGTGGAGTTAAAGCAATTCAACAGCAAACAGCAAAGCTCTGCACTCTCCGCCTCACACTGAGCGCCGTGGGCGGGGTTTTTGCCTGCACGCTGATCAGCGAAAGCAGATTGGCTGCTTGTAGGCGCTCTGTGAAAGCCGATTGGCTGCTTGTATGTCAATTAGTCTCTCGACAAAAGAGAGAATCAGTTGTGGTCAGAAGATTAAATACTCATTTCATGATTTTTTTAATTACAAAACAGAAGCTTTACATAAAAATAAAATATATTTTAACATTCTTATTTATTAACAAAAATAGATAAGTGAATATTTACAAACCAGAAACCCTTTTTACACTTACCTCTGCATTATTCAGACACTAGATGGCAGCAAACAGTCAAAAAACTAAGAAAACCAGAGTAAACACAAAACAGCTTTAAAATAATCTCATTTATTAAGGACTAAACATCCAAACCTGCATTAGCCACACGTGAACAAGTAAATGCCCTCTAAATCTAATACCTGGTTGTGCCACCATTAGCAGCAACTGGAAGTAATCAGGCTAGTGTTTCACATCTCTGTGGAGGAATTGTGGACCAGTTTTAATTGAACTATATTAGAAGGTTTGAGCATTAATGGACTTTTTGAGGTTATTCCACAACATCTCAATCAGTCTGGACTTTGACTATCCCAGATGTAACAGGATGCATACAAACATGCCAAGTTGGGATGTTCCTTAAGAAGAATAAAGACTGACACTGTGGATTAAGTACCAAGTTACCAATTTCTTTCTCACATACTATTTGTGCTTGTTCACGTGCTCATTATCTGGTATACCTTTCCAGAGGTTGCTGGTTCTGTATTATTCCTGACAACAAGTCACCCACTGCATGAGTGTTGTCTTCATTTGTTGGTCCACCACCAGTAATATATCACTGTCTTCTTACCTCTGCATTCTGACTTTTTAAAGCCAGTTTTAGGTTCCTCCACAGAGTCTGTAAGGCAAATATCTTTCATTATAAATTGTGATAAAAATATAAATGCAATGATAATAATAAAGAAATCTCACCTGAAATTATTGTATTGTTCTCCTTTTCTTTTGTTCACTAGCAGTAGTGTGGGGTTTGCGTTCAATAACTGGATAGTTTGTCAAATTGTCTGCCATTGCTTTGTGTCAAGATTTAAGCCAAGGGTGTTCAAAGTCGGTTCTGGAGGGCCGGTGTCCTGCTGACTTTAGCTCCAACTTGCTTCAACACACCTGCCTGGGAGTTTCTAGTATACCTAGTAAGAGCTTGATTAGCTTGTTCAGATGTGTTTAATCAGGGTTGGAACTAAACTCTCCAGGACACCGGCCCTCCAGGACTGAGTGTGGACACCCATGGTTTACACCAGGGCTGTCCAAACTCGGTCCTGGAGGGCTGCTGTCCTGCAGATTTTAGCTTCAACTTGCCTCAACACACCTGCAAGGATGCGTTTAGAAAGCCTAGTAAGAGCTTGATTTGCTAGCCCAGGAGTGTCTGATTGGGTTGGGACTAAACTCTGCAGGACACCGGCCCTCCAGGAGCGAGTTTGGACACCAAACAGTGTTTTGTACACCATTTCAGGTTTTAATGAACACCATCAGACCTGCAGCATAAGCCTACCTACATTACTCCAGGGCTCTGGGGGGTTCCTCCAGAGACTGGGAGTTGGTCTCCTTATGGAAGTGGGTTTCTGTTGGAAGTACATCAACATAATTCTAACCTTTGGTTCTCGCTGATTTTAAGGTGGTCATTTGATGTTATTAATTAAACAAGACAGTGCTGGTTGCTTATATATGAATGAGTGCACATATAAAATGCTGTCTGAATTATCCAATAGACAATAACAACATAAGAAAGGGCAGCAGCAACTGACCAATTACCTCTGATCTATCTAAACATGTGAGAGAGTTTAGGATGTACATCTTTTTACCAACAAGTTAATGGAAACAGATTTTACAAATAGTGTTTTAATATTGTTGATTTAACTCTCTCTGCTGAAATCAGAAATATTCATCAAGCTTGTTTTCTACTCAAAGTAAATGTAGTAAACTAGAAAGAGTCTTGAACTTGAAAGTAAGGAAACTTTATCAATAAAAGAAGCAAATACACAAGACAAATTAATAGGATTTCCAAACTTAAGGCGTTGGTATACTGCAAACCAAACTCTGGCTGAAATAACGTTCTTCTTGAGTTCATTTAAGCAGTTGGAAACAGCTTGGTTTTGGCTCCTAAACACCTTTGAGCTACCATTGTCAATTATGCAACCAGTGGGTGTCTCCTGGTGCTCTGCCTTCATTGATGTGCGGTTTTCCATTGATTTGCTTCTCATTCAGGGGGTCAGACAGCAACACTAGCCACATGAACACACTGGAGAGTGGAGCAGCAGAGCTGTACAGATATATCCGCACCTGATACGATTTTAAAGACTCGGATGGAGGCACACACCAAATCCAGAAGCCCACCTCGTCACGCCACATCTTTTCTATGAGTTTGCACACATCTGCACCACTCAGTGTCTGTCCACAGCTAATAGAAAACCATGTGAAGAGGAGAGGTGCTGTTTGCAGGATGTTTATGAAACTGTTCTTCTCTCAGCCGCCATCATTGTGTTTAGCTGTGCATGTGAGCAGCGCAACACATTTACAACCCCACCCACTGCAGTGCAGAGTGTTGGAAAACAGTATACCGTCACTCAGCCTTTTCAAACATTATTCAGACATGAAGCATCCTCTTACATGAGAGAGTGTTTGCTGTATTTACGTCATGTGTGCAGCTTTATGTCCACTTGTTCCTGTAAGCTGTGCTGAATGACAGAACCTCTGTATAGACACTGATCACGCCTCAGGTTTCTCTCCAGTGTGAATGCTCTGGTGCAGTTTCAATTCTCCAGCTGTAGTAAAAGTGTCCTCGCACTCCAAGCACATGAACTCTTTCACACCACCGTGGATCTTCATGTGTAGATTAAAGTGCGATGATTGCCTGAAACCCTTCCCACACTGAGTGCACATGAACGGTCTCTCTCCAGTGTGGATCATCATGTGTTGATTAAGGTTTGAGGACTGTATGAAACCCTTCCCACAATGAGTACAAGTGAACGGTTTCTCTCCAGTGTGGATCCTCATGTGTTGATTAAGGTTTGATAAGTGGGTGAAACTCTTCCCACATTGGGTGCATATGAACGGTCTCTCTCCCGTGTGGATCATCATGTGTATGTTAAGGTTCGATGAGCTGCTGAAACTCTTCTTACACTGAGTGCATGTGAATGGTTTCTCTCCAGTGTGGATCCTCATGTGTTGATTAAGATGTGCTAGTCGGCTGAAACGCTTCCCACACTGGGTGCATGTGAACGGTTTCTCTCCAGTGTGGATCCTCATGTGAATCAGAAGATTGGCTTTTCCTTCACAACACTGTCCACACTGAGTGCAGATGAAACAATTCTTGTTTTTCTTTTTCTTTATCTTATTACCGTCAGTCTGTAAATTACTTTTGTCCTCAACTTTGACATGATGTTCTTCCTCTTTAACCTTATTCTCTTCAATTAGGTCTGAAAAAAAAAAAACATTAGGTTTCAATAAGTCTTTAAAACGCTCATCTAAAGTCATAAAAAGGTACTAAAACATTGGCTACACACACTGTAATATTGATGCACATTAATGTAAAATAAATCAGATCATATTTAGTTTAGTCCGTTACACGTATACACATTTAAGCAGATACTTACATGAAGATCAAATTGTTGCTCATATTAAGGAGACACAGGTTTGAAAGCTGTAACTGGCCTGCCTTCATTTGAATATATTCATAATTACAACAAAAACAATTTTCTAAAATGTGTAAAGCAGACAGGGATTACTTTCTTTGACTGACAAATGTGTCAGAAAAAACTGCTGAATCTCTGTGAATATTTAGCAAAGACATGAGACACATCTACATAAAGCCTGAAATGTGCACCTTTAATATGGTGTAAAATCAATGCCAAAAGTTTTGCAATAAAAAGCTCAACCTGAAAGAAATAATACATTGATTGAATTAACTAGTGCTTGCATTTTAATGACTTAATCTGCCATGGTTTGTGTTTTTAGCTCCTGAAATTGAACACAGCTGTTTAAGCGGTGAATATTTTAACTAAAAATATCTAACACACATTTTCATGATTAAAAATTAGGCATGAGACGATAACCGGTTTTAAGGTATACCGTGGTTTTGAAAAGTCAAGGTTTTAAAGCAGTTCAAATTTTCTGTTTTACCTTTCCTAAGGTATTTGTAAGTTTTGTTTTACGTGTTTTTATGACTATTTTATTGAGTTGAGTATTGAACAGTGCAGTGGTTTACTTTATATCCGGAAAAAAACAAAAAAGATATCCAAAGGTGCCTTTCCAAGTAAAAAGACATCTGTGTTTTTGAAACTAATTAAGACAGCAGATGTCATCTAATGTTTGCTGACATTTATTGTTTCAAAATATTTTATTTTTTAACCCAGAAATTTAAAAAGAATATATTTTAGAGCAGTAAACACAATACCATAATATCGTGAAAACAAGATATTTTTACCCAAGGTTATCAGGAATCTTATACCGGCCCATACCCATTAAAAATTCAATAATTCACAATCAACTTCCTGTCTGCACAACCAAAATATTCTGTTCAGCTTAAAAATACGACATATTATATTGAAAAGGCAATTTTCAGTTTATTTTATCCACCTCCATGAATTCAGCGGTTCTAATACAGCTGTTAAAATCCGACATTACATCCACGAGCTGCAGGAAAAGCAAGAGATTGTAAATCTCAGACTGCTTTTTCACTAGCAGGGGGAGATGGACCAAATAAGACTTTTAAACCAGTAAATAGGTGAGAAAACAGATCATAACGGCACAAGAGTAGCATTTAATACTACCATCAATGTTTTGGATAGGAATGCTCCTTTCGGTTCATTTTGACAACTGACGCTCGTTATTAACGGGTAACTGGTCCAATTAATAATAGATTATTATTTAGTTTTTTAAATAATTGACACGTCACACTCCTCAGCCTACCGGGAAAATCTATGCCGGGGTACTGGAGAAGAGGATCCGAACGGTTGAACCTAGGACCCAGGAGGAACAATGCGGTTTTTGTCCAGGCCGTGGTACACTGGAGCAGCTCTATACCCTCACCAGGGTGCTCGAGGGTTCATGGGCGTATGCTCAACCAGTTCACATGTGTTTGTGGACTTGGAGAAGGCATTCGACTGTGTTCCTCGTGGCATTTTGTGGAGTGTGGTCTGGGACTATGGGGTCAGAGGCGCTCTGTTAAGGGCTGTCTCATCCCTGTATGAACTGAGTAGGAGTCTGGTTCGCATTGCCGGCAGTAAGTCAGACTTGTTTCCAGTGCATGTTGGGCTTCAGCAGGGCTGCCCTTGTCACCAATTCTGTTCATAATTTTTATTAACCCTATAGGCGTAAACTGTTAATATTACTATCATTGACTGCTATATAGAATATAAACTACAAAAGAGAAACGGAGGAAAGGAAATAATATAATAATAAAAAAATACAGTAAATAAACACAAGGCCGGGGGTAACGACAATTAGGAACAGAGATATTGCTGATATTGCTTTATTAATTCTAAGGGAAAGCAATATTGAACCGATTTAAATATTCCTGCATAATGTGTCACCTGACTGCTCCGCCCCTGATCAGGAATAAACACCAACCTATTTGTTGTTCAGTGTCTTCATGTTTAATTCTGCAGGGTTCTGGATCACTCATGTTCTCGCTGTCCTTCAATAAACTCTTCACTGGAGCCTGATGGGAATATCACAGTGATTACAGCTGAACTGGAGGAGGAGGAGCTTCACTGGAGGAGGAGGGGCTTCACTGGAGGAGGAGGAGCTTCGCTGGAGGAGGAGGAGCTTTACTGGAGGAGGAGATAATTATTCTAATTACAAGTTGTTCGCTTATATTTATATTTTAATGTCATATCAGCAGCACTGGCTATATTCATGACAACACTTGTATTAAATATTCAATATATAATTGATGATCATAACTGTTTCTGAAACATCATTAATTGGTTAAAAACACACAAATAACAGCAACACTGATAAAGTCTTATAAGCTCTTTCAGTCTGATCAATGATCAATATTGTACAATTCCTCCAGAAAACACATTTTTAAACATTTGCCTTCAAATATTTCCTGAATAAAAACATTCTCTAATATCATTTACAAATATACACTCTATTAAAATATGTTTCACCATCAAAATATTCTCACACAAGTTACACATAGGTTTCTCTTCCCTGTTCAGTAAATATGTGTGTAAGTGTTGAGTGGCCGATTCTACATCTCATGTGTGCAGCGTGATCATGTCTCTGATTGCCTACAGTTATCTCTCAATACTGTAATACATTCATTATTAAGTGTTTTATACTATTATACTAATCCCACATTCTGTTTTACTGCTAAATAAAAGCATTTGCAACAACGTTAAACATTTATAAAACAAAAACTATTTAAAAATGCTGTTAAAACAAAATAACCTGTTTAATGTTCTCTATATTTTTGCTGATTTTATTTACGTTTTGCTAACAATGTTATTAGCCTATGAAATAAAGATTGATTATATTAATTGTTACATATTTATTTCTCTTCAAAGTTTACACAAGCAGATATAAAGTTAAAAGGATCAATAATCAATATTAAACTGTATTTAAACACTCTTAGGTCTACTTCTCATATGCAGAATAGTCAATATGTAAATAACCCAGCATCAAATGTAGTAAACCCAGATCTCCTCAGCTGCTACAGGCCTCTCCAGTCTTACATTTCTACGCTGTAACAGATGTGTTTGTTGGGAAGTTGTTTACAACACACCTCTGAAACAAGCACTTAGTGAAGGAATGAGATGGAGACACAAATGAAAGGTGGCCAGATAACCCGTGAGTAACGCATTACAGAAGTGTTTACAGCCTAGCATCGAGCTAAAAACAAGAGACTATATTAGCATTGAGCACATATGTTAAAGCAGTTCAACCCGCAAGATAATTGCAGCAAATCTGCGAACGCTACAAAGGTCAGATATAATACACTTACTTTGAATAGACGCACAACACCCGAAACAGAAGTGGAGTTAAAGCAATTCAACAGCAAACAGCAAAGCTCTGCACTCTCCGCCTCACACTGAGCGCCGTGGGCGGAACGCCTGCGCGCTGATCAGAGAAAGCTGATTGGCTGCCTATAGGCCCTCAGCGAAAGCAGATTGGCTGCTTGTAGGCATCCAGTGAAAGCCGATTGGCTGCCTGTATGTCAATCAGTCTCCCGACAAAAGAGGAAAACATTTATGGTCTGAAGATTAAAGGTGCAGTAGGTGATTGTGTTCTGAAACATGCTGGTTGAGTCTCTTCAGTCAACTAATAATGATTAAAGTAAATGATCTGAATGTGTTTATTTTTGTTTATGTATTCTGGGTGAGGCAGAAAACTAAAAAATGTTCATCCAATTAAATATTGTCGGGCCGATAATGTCCACGATTCCCAAGTAGCTCAAATATTCTGTCAGCAAATGTAGATATGTAAATGTGCACATCTCTGTTCATCTGCAAAACTCTTTAAACTCATGAATCAATAGTGGAGTGAGTTCTGCACGCTGGAGGAAGGAGGACAGTATGGCTGAAGTGTTTCTGTCAGGCAGGTCATGTTCTGTGTTAAAACTATTGTAGTCAGGCAGAGCTGATGTACACTGGGTTGTTCTGAATGGGTTATCTGCACAGAAGTGTTGATCAGCCACTGAAATCTCTCGCTGAAAGATTGATGTGACTATTTTCAGCTTCATAAGGTTCTTTTACAGCAGATTATGTACGTTTATATTCAGTGTAACAACAGAACATCAGTAAATAGCGCTATTTTGCCTAGCTGAAGAGGCTTTAATATTCACATTAGTTCATATATGAACAATGACAGCCTGTGACGCTCCCTATATTGTTCACCACTACTCTCAATATTCCCCCTGAAACAGCATGTCAGTATGGCTTTAGTAATAAGCGTAATTCCTGCACGTCGCCGGCCAAACACTAAACATACAGTAGTGGCTTTAGGACAAAGCTTTTGCTAGATATTATAGTGTTTTTCATTCAGAACTGTAGTTTATAAAGTACTGTAGAGTTTTCTAAGTAGAGAAGGACATGATCTAGTGGGTTGTCTGCTGTCATCGTTAAGATGCGCGCTCTTGTTTCAGGAGGCGTGGCTTTGAACAGCAGGGGAGGGACCGTGTTTCAAAGATATTATTCTAACTGGTTAGCATTTTGGCAGGTCACCTACTGCACCTTTAATTACTTTTTTTATGGTTTTGTTAATTGCAAAACAGAAGATTTACTTAAAAAGAAAATCTATTTTAACTACATTTTAAATACATGAATGTGAATTTACAACCCAGCAGTGTTAAGTTACTTAAAGAAAAAAAAAACTACTGGAAAACTTTAAACTGATTACATTCCTTATGACTTCATAGTAAAGTAATTAGTACACTGATCACTTTTTACATGAAGTTACTTTAAAACATAAAATATACATATACAAAACAAAATAACCTGCAGCTCAATCAGTAATTTAATAATATTTAAAATTTGGCTATTTATAATCCATAGTAATAACTCCTGTACAGCATTCCCACAACATCCTGACACTCGGTGACACTGAATACCCTGTCAGTAATGTCTAGTGTCTGGGAATGAGCTGTTTACAGTGTCTGCTATAATGTTAGTGTTGTTTTCTTGTGTTTACATGATGAGTATGCCCACAGGGTAAATGTACAGTACAGTTACGAGCTTATTGCCACATTAGAATCCTTATGATAACATAATATACGCCTTCAGTGATTTCCTGAAGATAAACACAAAACAGTAACGCAACTGGAATTACTACCGTGATCGTCTGACCTCATATGAAGCAAGAGATCACGATGACATATGACGGACATACGATGTGGAAAGAGATGCACATGAACTGCATTTCACAGCAATATTTTTGTCTTCACGCTTAATGAAATCAATGTTATGTCTGTAATTCCACTTGAACTCTGTTAACCAGAAACCCTTTTTACACTTACCTGTGCATTATTTAGACACTAGATGGCAGCAAACAGTCAAAAACACAAAGAAAACCAGAGTAAACACAAAACAGTTTTAAAATAATCTGATTTATTAAGGACAAAACATCCAAACCTGCCTTGGCCACACGTGAAAGAGTAAATGCCCTCTAAATCTAATATCTGGTTGTGCCACCATTTGGCAAGTTATCCGACTAGTGTTTCACATCTCTGTGGAGGAATTGTGGACCACTCATCTCTGCAGAATGATTTTAATTAAGCCGTGTCAGAGCATTAATGGAGTTTGAGGTTATTCCACAGCCTCTCGATCAGTTTTAGGTCTTGACTTTGACTTTATCCCAGATGTAACGGGATACACACCTTTCAAAAGGTTCCAATTTACCTGCTTTCTTACCTGCCTGAGTGATCCTTCAGGGGCTAGATCCCCGTTGTAGGATCTCCAATGGCAAAAGGTCTTAGGTGACAGGTCAGACTAAATGCAGGGTCAAATATCCCTTGTGAGTCAAACAAAATTAAGGATCATAGTGTTAGCCACAGTCAAGGCCTCACCATGGAGCCAGGCCAGGGGTTTGGACTCGTATGCGAGCATATGGTGGCCATGTTTATTCCACAAAACCCAGCCAGACTCAACCTGAAGAAGTGACATGGGACTATCTTCCTGCAGGCCCACTGCCGTAAGGAGCCAGTGCAATGTGTAATAGGTGGTGGTCAAATAGCAAGGACCATGACAACCTGCTCATTAGACATAAAAGTGGCTCTTGGGACATGGAATGTCACCTCACAGGAAGGGATAAATGTCTGAGCTTGTGCGGGAGGTTGAACAGTATCAACTAAAGATAGTCAAGCTCACTTCCACACACAGTTTAGGCTCTGGAACTGAACTTCTTAAGAAAGGCTGAAATTTCTTCTAGTCTGGAGTTGCCCACAGTGAGAGGCAGTGGGCTGGTGTGAGCTTGCTTATAGCTCCCCAACTTAGCTGCCATGGGGTGGAACTGTCCCAGCTGAACGAGAAGGTCACTTGCCTGTACATTTGGGTTGCGGAATGGTCTCCCAGATCTGAATCTGAATAGGGTTGTGTTGGACTTTTGCGCTAGTCAGTTAGTCCGCAACAAACACCATGTTTGAGCATGAGAGTGTCCATCAGTGCACATGGCACACACAAGGCCAGAGCTCAATTATAGTCCTTGTGATTGTTTCATCTGATCTCTGATTGTATATCTTGGACACTTGTGTAGAAAAAGGACAAAGCTGTCAATTGATCACCACCTGGTGGGGAGTTGGATGGTGGCGAGTTATAGACCATGCGAGACGACTACTGGTCAGCCTCAAAGGGATTCTAGCAAACCTTGTCTAACATGCTTCTACGTTAAGTTAGGGGACAGCACCTCTAGACTACGCAACTGGGGTAGTGGTTCCTATTCTAAAAAAAGGGGGACCAGAGGGTGTGTTTCTCCCTGGAAAAGTCTATGCTGGAGAGGAGAAGCCAGCCTATGGTTGAACCACTGATCCAGGAGAAACAATGCCAATTTCATTCAGGCTGTGTAACACAGAACCAGCTCTATACCCACCCTAGGGTGGTTGTGGGATCATGGGAGTATGCCCAACCTGCTCACAGTTTGTGGACTTGGGGAAGGCATTCAACTGTGTCTTTTGAGATTCTCTACGGGGTGCTCTGGGAGAATAGGGTTGGAGGCACTCTGTTGAGGGCTGTCAGGTCCCTGTATGAACAGAGCAAGAGTTTGGTTCACATTGCCAGCAATAAGTCAGACTTCTACCCAGTGTGTGTAGGACTCTGTCAGCCTTCTGTCAGTT